GTGGAGCCAACGAACAAGCAATAATCAACCATAGGATGAAAGCCAAGAATCTGCCAGATGTTTCCATCCCAAAACTGCCATGGGTCTTCAGAGTCAAAGACTAGTTGTTTTTCCACATCTGGGCTGGTCTTCGGGCCTTAGGACATGGTAAAGATTTAACTTTACAAACCACCTCTAACTGGCAGAGGACATCAGACTGTAAGCAGACAGGAGCTTCTCTTTCTAGGCAGAAAGGCAAGGTGAAAGACAAAGAGACACACTGGGGGGGGGGGGGTTTGGGTGGCTGGTCTAAGTGGAAACCCACGTGACACAGGTTCCCGGTAGCAGAGCCAATCCCACTGCATTACGATAGCAGCCATCTCCCAGTATATATTTACCTGAGGAAGAGGAGCTTGTTTCTCCATGCTGGCTGTCTTGTTGGCCCAGGCTTCCAAGGGCTTTTCTGTCCCCGAGCCATGGGCTGACACGGGGAACCTGGCTGCTAAGGCTGGCCGTGGGGCCGCCTGCAGCTGCTGCCCCTGATGTACTACCTGGAGCTTTCTCAACAGCTCCTGAGTAGGAAGCACACTGGGGCTGCTCTCCTGGTGGCTGGAGAGGGACAGCGCTTGTGCTGGCAGTGCACACTGCTCCTTCCTGAGAGTCTGATGTCCTGGTGTGGGAGGAGGAAGGGGGCCACTGAAATACACCAGCTGTGAGTGAGCCACGCTTTGGCACGGAGCCAGCTGAGTGGCCACAGCTGGGCTGGCAGGTGCACAGGGCTTAAACTTATGTGCTGCCCCAGAAGCACCTTGAAGTTGCTCTAGCAGCTTGTGGCTTCTGCAAGTGCTCTGTGCACAGTGTGCAGTCCCACCGTTCCAGGGTGACCCCAGGTGGACAGGACCAGGGAGAACTCCCCTTGCATGACTGGGGCTGCCACTTTCACAGGGCCACTGTTGAGGGTGCTGTGGCAGCGGGTGCAGCCCCGTGCTCCCGACCATGAGTTTCTGAATGGCTGGACATAGTTGCTTCTCCACGGGGAGTGAGAGCCTTCTGGGATTGTCATAGGACAGGGGGCATGCAACTCCTTGATGAATGGGAAGCTGCTCTTGCTGTTGGTGGTGGTGGTGGTGGTGGTGATGGTGGTGGGTGAATGTCCCAGAGGGTTTCAGAGTTTCATGACATGGAGCTTTGTCTTGTTTCCCAAATAGAGCTGTCAAAGATAAGTGTTGGGGCTCAGGGTCCGAGGTCTGGGGGTGGAAAAAGATATCCAAAAATAGGTTCACATAGTTTGGTTATGGGAGGGAGAGGCTGTGAAGCATAACTCAGCTAACTGTTGGTTTCCTCTGTTTACAAAGGATCAATGACCGAGGTGAAATTTATTAACTCGAAAAGTTCGATACCTCTGAAATGTCTAATATCTTTACAGCATTCTCCCCTCTCTGTCCCCAAGGCTTTTGTTAGACCACAGTATCTGGTCATTTGATATTTGAATGTAATCCTTGAGGGGTCTGCAGCTCACAGATTAGGGGACAAAACTACACTCTATAGTATAAAATGGCCGGTACTTCATGGTAACCCATCTCTATAGCCAGGGCCCATCTAGGGTTGCTGAGAACAACTAGAATGTACTAGAAATAAGCAGGATGTAAGAGCTCCAGGTTCCTGGCAGCTTTCACGGCATTGTAGAGAGCTAAGGCTAGAAAGAAATAAGTATTTTAATCTAGCATGCAAAGACCAGGTGTATATGATGCCGTGGCCTGGCCACTACACCACTCCTGCCCTCCTTGCCCCTGAGCCAGCCCTCTTTCCCCACCTTCTGCTTGAAAACATAAGCTCCATTCTAACGTCAATGTGTCTTGGTTTATCTACTGAAATGAAACAGATTCTCATGGAAAATACGAAAAGCTAAAATAACTTAGAAAACATTTCTTTTTTTGAAAAATTCAAAACAAGACTTTCATTAGTCAAGTCATTTTATGTCTTTGGCTCATGCTCACTTTCAGAACTGATTTAAACTAATTCCTTGAAAGCCACCTCTTTACTTAGGAATAATAACTCTGATGAAGGAACAGACATGTTCCCTTACAATCAACAATGGGCCTTGCTAATTAGCAAATTTTGTCTCTGCTGTACTGTTCTGAATAGCACACAACACACATACCGCCCCAGGTCTGTGGGGCTTTGACTACTCTCTGGCCCAAAGCTAATCCACAGCAGGGACTCCATGCTGCACACCCAGTGCCTGGCATAGTATAGGCTTAGTATAGGGTGGTGCTCAGAAATGTTACATTTTATTGTGCTGCCATGGTGACTGCTCCGCCAGTGGCCTGAGAAGCCACCTATCCCAGAAGAATACGGACCCAGAGGTTTATGCTTCTGCCTTGCCTGACACCTGCTGTTTTAACAATATACGATCTTCTAAGGGGTCTCAGCTCACGAGCCACGAGCCCATCATGTGGTAAATCCAACAGTCCCCGAGGAAGGGCACCGGTGCTGCATAGTTAGTTCATGCACAGAGCAACAAGACCCTGCCTTTCTCCACTGATCTTCCGTGTCCCTCAGCAATGCCAGGCCTTCTCCTGCAGTACGTGGGTCAAGCTCTTTGAGAATCCCAGAGAGGCCACAGATAAAAATCCCCCGGTTTCTGTAATTACTCCAGGTTATATACTCAGATTGGGAGATCTGGAGCCAGGAGCCTCAGATGAGAGAGAACATACGACATTTGTCTTTCTGAGTCTGAGTTACCTCACTTCAATATTATCTTTTCTAGGTTTACACATTTACTTCAAATTTTCATGATTTCAGTTCTCTTTACAGCTGGACAGTATTCCATTGCATATGTGCACCACATTTTCATACCCACCCATGAGCTGAAGGACATTTAGGATGTTTCTATTTCCTAGCTATTGTGAATAGCGTGGCATGACACCAACCGAAGGCAAGCTGACCTGAAAGGGGCGACCTCATGCGGCCTCACTCCTAGACAAAGAACTCCAGTCAGTTAAGGAAAGCTGAGAGTTGGAGACACTGTCTCCCCCACCAAAGAGCACACTAACTGCCTATCCAATACCAAATGGTCAGCACTAGAAACATGTACATACGAGTAACACTGTACACATATATATGACAAATAACCTGGACTGAACAGGTTGTATTAATATAGTTAGGGATATGTAATATCTAGGAATTAAAGAAATGGAGGTCATTAATTTGAGAGAAGGCAAAGGGAATTTACAAGGGAAGGGTTGGCGGGAGGAAAGGGGGAGACATTGTAATTACATTTTAATTCCAAAACCTGAAAAATATGTTTTTTCTTTTAAAAACAAAACAAAAAGGCAGAAGACGCATACCTTGTTGGGCGGGGGTTCTTGTAGCCTGTGGCTACTACTGGGTCTCACCGGGACAGGTTTGATAAGCTTAGGGTTGTCACAAATGGCGGAAGAACTGGTTATCTGTTTTGGCTCAGAACAGGTTTTACACTGGAATGGAAAAAACACAGATACTTCGTTTTTGATGGAAATAAAAGAAGCTTGAGTGTTTTTATACCCCTTCTTGCTTATCTAATTGGTAGATAAGCAAGCAATTTTAAAAATTGGCTATTTTTAAAATAAGTTTTTATGCATGAAGGATAATCTCTTCTACTTTTCTGATAGGAACTGCATTTGGGTAGAAGTCAACTACAAACTTATTTTTTTGTGTGTGTAACTCAGTACCCTAAAATATTACTACCTAACATCAGCTAGCCCCAAGGACCCACATGCTCTTGGATACTTGGAAGGCTATGTATGCATTTACTTAAGAAGAAACCGTTTAAAACAACCAATCTAATAAGTTTCAATGGTAAACAATCACAGAAATAATATAGAGTAGAGTACTGGGAGCTGCTAAAAATATTTAACCCAAATTTGGCCCACAAACTAAAAAGTAATGCTGTCTCAAACCACTGATTTAAAAATTGCTAACACCATTTTTATTAATAGATGACTTCTTGCATAAACAGGATAATTTAAATGAAGTGTTCTGAGCCACTTACAACAAATTAGAATTTCATAAACAGACGAAGCAAGCCTCATCATTTCAAATACTGACTCATTATCACCTGTTAATCTAACCAACCATGCAATTGCTAACAGTAGGATTCATAACAAAAGCGCCTGACAATAATGCTGTGATTTATTTTGTTAAAACATCAAAGAAAACAATACAACAGGACCTTCCAGGCTGCAGACTCTTCTGGAGCATTTGCTTCAGCTGCCCAGCTAATGCCTCATGCCTGAAAACAGTCACCACATCTGACAAGGCACGAGTGACAGGCACCATCTCATCTCTGCAACCCCAAAGTTCTCAAGGGGTTTTCCAGCTACTGGGGCATATTCTCTTATTCTAGCACATGGGCTTTGGGTTGGTTGTCACTGTGTGCACCTGTCTTTTAGATCAACCACACAAAAGTCTAACTGTATTTTCCAAGAGTTCTGTCAATTCTTTGGCCATTAGGCATTAGTACTGAATAGTGTGTGGAATTGCTTTTCAGTCATAAAATGTTATTTTTGCGTTCATATCAAGTGAGTGACAGTAATGGGTAGTGTCACTGCATGGGTTGACTGCTGTCTTCCTTACAGCAGGGCAGACAAGGCAAGGCAAGGCAAGGTAAGGCAAGGCAAGGCAAAAACACATAAGACCCTGACTTATAAAGTGATGGCTAGAGGAGTTGTTAGCCCCTGTTGCCACTTACAAGGAGGTGGTGTTAATTCTACAGAATGATTTTCTTTTAAACAAAGAAAACTGACATTCCCCCACCTTTCCTATGCTTTGAGGTAGCTTTGCCTCCTATTATACATCACTCCTTAGATATTTTTTTCCCTTTTCTTTTTTAGACAGGTTTCAGACCATCCTGGATTAAGTAGTAAGACTTATCTCAAAAACACAAAGCATGAGCCCCAACAACACAGCTCAGTGGGTAAGGGCACCTGCCACCAAGCCTCATGACCTGAGTTTGATCCTTGGAACCCATTTGGTGGAAGGACAGAACCGACTTTCACAAGTTGTCCTCTTCTGACCTTCACATATGTGCTGTGGTACCCCTCCCCAATGAATAAATAAAAGGTAATAAAAATTGTAAGCCAAAACAAAAAGCATAAAAGTAGACTTGAACAAACCTAAGTGTATGCCCTGTTCTTAGCTAAAGACTAAGAAGACTGAATGTAAAGTTGTCAGTTCTCCTTTAGTCTATAAGTCCGAGGTTATTTCTAAATAAATACTGCTGTTTTCTTTTCTTCTCCTTTTCCAGGAACAGACAAGTTGATTTTAAGGGGAAGATGGGCTTTAGAGTGTTGGGGAATGGGGGTTGGGGAGGGGCACTGTAAAAACAAGCAATATTGGCCAGAGGTAGAGTAGAGAGCCATGAAGCAGGCTTTACTTGATGCTAAAAAAATGGTTATGAAAATTAAGGGTACTCTGGGTTGTTAAAATTGGATGTGAACATGCAGGGTACTGTAGATTATTGGTATTCATACATAGTAACCAGACAGGCCAACAGGATAGCAGAAGCCAGATTTAGATGCAAGTATGGGTCATGTTTATGCAGGATGCTATAGATTGTTGGTATTCATACATAGTAACCAGACAGGCCAACAGGATAGCGAAAGCTGGATTTAGATGCAATTATAGGTCAAGTTTATGATATGATAAAGAACTGTTTCAGATCAGTTATATGAATGGGTTCTTAAGTAAACAGTGTTGAGGCAACTGGTACCATTTAGAAAAGTACAGAATCCAAACTGTGCCTCAAGCCACATCCCAGGATAAATCTCAAATGTGTTAGAAAATTCAGGTTCCAAAAGAAAACCTACTTTGCAATCTAGGAAAAAAGAATTCTTAACTATGCCTTAAAACTCAAAACCAATTAATTTCAACTATATAAAAAAATTAACATTTGCAAATTTTAAAAAAATATAAAAACAACAAAACAAAACAAAAAGCTGGCCAGTAGTGACACATGCCTTTAACCCCAGCACTCCGGAGACAGAGACAAGTAATGTCTCTGAGTTCTAGGCCAGCCTGATCTACAAAGTGAGTTGGAGAACAGCCAGAGCTGTTAGACAAAGAAACCCTGTCTCCCAAACCAAAACAAACAAACAACATGGAATGTAACAGCTGAGAAGAAATATTCACACCTAAAAACTAGGTGTCCCCCAAAAATTGAAATATAAAAGATTAACACTCTTTAAAAAAAAAGATTGACACTCTCTAGAGAAATGGGCAAAGTAAAATAAAGAAAAAATAATTTAGAATTTGGAAAATGGGTACGGAAAATTAAGAAAATGTAACTGAGTTTTACATTATGACATCATTAAGAAAATCATGACTTCAAGCCAAAATGTTTGAGCTGAAAAGTCTCGGTAGATTATACTTTAAGGGTGCAAAGAACAACAAATTAGAAACTTAATTCAGTGGTCTTATTATTAGTAGGAATATTGGCCTTATAATTTTTCATCCATTACAGATACAATAAATGAGAAATTACAAACCTTGATATAAGAGATGAAAATCTAAGTTAAAGTTGCATCTTAAGTAGTAAGTGGAGACATCAAAATTAGTTCGTTTTGTTTCTTAACTATGGAAACAAAACTGCAAGCTCCTGGCTCCCTGAAAAGACTCATAAATGATTGACAGCCCTAAAAAGTGTCAGAGCCCTTTGAAGAAGTTCCTGATTGCAGGGCAAATGGGGACTGAGTGCTGGACATGCAATCTTGTATAATGACTGTGGATAATGGTGATGAGTGGGAGAGAAAGCGTGGACCAAATTCAACCAAAACAAAGCTATTACTGTCTTTCCTTGGAGAGTACTCAGACACTGATAATAGAGCGTGTGTGAGTGTGTGTGTGTGTGTGTGTGTGTGTGTGTGTGTGTGTGTTCAGATGCATGTGTACAATCACAAACAAGCCACAGTTCACACGTGGAGATCAGAGGGCAGTTTTCAGGAGTCAGTTCCCTCTTTCTGTCACATAGGCTGTGGGTTCCAGGAACAAACAGGTCTTTGACAATCCAGGAATTAAATTCAGGTTCCAGGCCCCTTTTTCTCACCAGCCGTCTCATAGGCCTCACACTGGTGACATTCTGTCTACAATATTGTTATGTGAACTCTCGGACTCTTTGCGCTTTCCATAACATGATCTTCGTGGTATTCTGTAAGCATTTGAAACTGACATCTACTTCCTAGAAGCGCCTTCCTGTTTCTCCTCCTTTTCCCCACCCACCCAAACAAGATCAGACTCCAGGTCCATCTCCAGTCCTGCCTCCCCAGCTAGATGTAGCTGATTCTCCCATTAGCATCGGTAGTTACAGACACCTTCTCCCGTCTGTGCTGTCGCCTCTCATATACTCATAGACATAGACATAGACACATTAGACAGACAGATAACGTACAGGCCATCAGTGAAATGGGCCTGGCATGAAAAAGTGGGAAATGGACAAAGTAATAAAGAACACAGGATTTTCCCCTCAGAATTCTTCTTGTGAAGTGTATCTCCATTTTTGGACATGTTTAAGTAGACATAGTGGAGATGTTATGAAAGAATTTCATGTCTCTTGATAAGGATTAAATGAAAACAACTGAGATCCCGTCTGTCTCTGGAATTTGGTGGGGAATTCAGCCTTATTTTTTAATTAATTTTTTAAATTGAATTATAAAGTTAAATTTGTATAAATTAAGGCATATAATATGATGTTTTGATACCTATATATACATTGTGGAATGCTAAATCAAGCTAATTAATATACGTATTACCTTACATACATAGCATTTTTGTGATGAGAACACTTAAAAATCTACTCTCAGCACCATTTGCATATGCTGTTATCAGCTGTGGTCACTGCAGTGTGCAGTGGCCCCTTTGGATTTCCCCTCCTCTATGGTGTCGTATCCAGCACACCATAGCCTGTACCCTAGCCTTTAAGAGCCACTGGTCTCTGCCCTTGTGAGTTCTGCTTTTCCAGATTCCTCATGGAAGTGATGTTATGTGGTATTTGTCATCTTTTTGTGTTTTATCCATGTGATCACAGATGGCAAGACTGCTTTTTTCCTTTTTGAAAATTGAATATAGTGTGTGTGTGTGTGTGTGATTTTATTTATCCATCAATCTGTTAGCACATATTTAACTGATCCATGTCTTGGCTGTTATAAATGGTGCTGCAATGAACATGGAAGTATGGATATCTCTTGGACATTATGATTTCATACTCTTTAGTTGTGTGCCAGAAGTGGGACTAGTAGGTCTTCTGGTGGTTCCATTTTTTGGTAGGTTTTTTTTGGGGGGGGGCGGGACTTTGGTACTATGTTCTTCACAGATTGCTAGCAATACTATATACCTAGATTCACTTTGCTCCACAGCTACACCAACACTTCATTATCTTTTGACTTTTTAAAAAGTATTTTTATTTTATGTGTATGCACCATGTGTGTGCCTGGTGCTCATAGAAGTCAAAAGAGGGCATCGGATCTCCTGGAACTGGGGTTATGGATGGTTGTGAGTGCTGGGAACCAAACCTATGGCCTCTGGGAGACCAACAAGTGCTTTTAATCTCTGAACCATTTCTCCAGCCCCTCTTTTGCCTTTTAGAGCTTGCACATTCTACCTGGAATGAAATGGGGTCTCGCTGTAACTTTGATTAGCATTTCCCTGTGATTAGGGTTGTCATCTTGAGTCCACACTGGGCTTGTTTTTACAGTGCCCCTCCCCAACCCCCATTCCCCAACACTCTAAAGCCCATCTTCCCCTTAAAATCAACTTGTCTGTTCCTGGAAAAGGAGAAGAAAAGAAAACAGCAGTATTTATTTAGAAATAACCTCGGACTTATAGACTAAAGGAGAACTGACAACTTTACATTCAGTCTTCTTAGTCTTTAGCTAAGAACAGGGCATATACTTAGGTTTGTTCAAGTCTACTTTTATGCTTTTTGTTTTGGCTTACAATTTTTATTACCTTTTATTTATTCATTGGGGAGGGGTACCACAGCACATATGTGAAGGTCAGAAGAGGACAACTTGTGAAAGTCGGTTCTGTCCTTCCACCATATGGGTTCCAAGGATCAAACTCAGGTCATGAGGCTTGGTGGCAGGTGCCCTTACCCACTGAGCTGTGTTGTTGGGGCTCATGCTTTGTGTTTTTGAGATAAGTCTTACTACTTAATCCAGGATGGTCTGAAACGCACCAGCCTCCTGCTTCAGTTTCTAAATTCTGGGATTACAGGCCTGCCCCACAACTGAAGACATGATTTATTTACATGTTACCACTGTAAATGTAGTAAGTCCTCTAACTAAATACGATTTGTTTGTACGAAGGGTGTTGATTTCTTAGGCTATCTTTTAATTTCCTGTAGAAAACAGTCTATAGCCTACTACAAGCAAGCAGACCTTGATTTCCCCCAGCTGGACTTTGAAGAGCCTTGAGTCTTTCTCAGAGACAATCTTGTCACTGTGGGTAAGTATGATCAGAAGGAAGAACAGAGACTCACCTTAGTGTACTCATCTTTGGCCTTAGTGAGCATCTGTAAGATATCTACTTCTCTGCCCTCTCCTGAACTCAGGGTCCCTGGGGAGGATTCTGCTCCAGATCCATGACAGGCTTTCAACTGTTCGCACTGAGTGAGGCTAGAAAAACAAGGGAAATGAGTATCAGGAAACTAAAGTCAAAACCAATGCTATTGCTCCAGTCATCTCCCAAGTGTTTCCATCCCATTAGAGCCATCTTAGAAAGATGCTCAGGCATTTGAAACAGAAAATGAGAGATGAGGTCTTGAGCTAATTGGCCACATATGCAAATCCAGGGTAGGAGCCAGCAAGCTATGACTGTGGGTGACAACCCGCCCCACCTGTTTTTGTAAAGAGAAAAATAAACATAGACTGCTCATTGTTGGACACATCAGTCACAGCTGCTTTTACATTGTAGTGGCAGAACTGTTGAGGAACATGGAGGAAACCTTACAAAGACAAACATTCAACAGGGATGACCGGCAAGGTGGACTGGACAACCTCAGATCTTGCAGTTTTCTGGCAATTTGGAGGTACCACAAAGGTCGCATCCTAACACTGACCACATGGTCTTAGATGCTGCAGGGAAACATCAGGAAATACTTCTTTGTTTGCTTTAACTTTCAGTTCTAATTCTTTTGTAAAAGCCATGAAGTTAATGGTAAAGTAAGATTGGTGAAGTCACGAGAGACTTAATTCTAACTAGAGGGATCTGAATCCACACAAATCAACTGCTCACTGCTAGTAATAATCACTCATTTTCCTGCCTGAGCTATTAGGCAGTCACCGCAGAATGCCACCAACTTTACCATGACCTCTTGGCTGAGGGACAGGGTATTTTTTAATCCATATGAGATCCTGCTATTATTATCCCTTGAACAATGTACAACATGAAATGTTTAAGGAACTAGTTGTTATGGTGGTAAATACCAGTTTGAACACACTTAATCACCATCTGTGACTTGAGCTGGTTGTCTAAAATTAGCTTTCACAAGTGAGATTTCAGGAGTCAATTTTATTTATAAAAATGTGTTCCCTGGTTTCCATTTCCTGGGGAGGGGGTGTCACTGTTTCATCTCAGTGGCCCTGGATTTAGAACTGAATACTGGCTCTTGCAGACAGAGCATCTCATCCATATGGGGTTCAGTTAGCCTAGGCAGAGACCCAGCTTCATAAACTCACTTCATTCTGAGGCTCTTGGCCATTTGCATGAACAGCAGCAAAACTGAGCATCCAAATCCATAACTGGGCAGTCCACCAATCTCACCTGGACCTCCTTTTGGTGCAAACCAGGGAAGCTAAGAGTAGGAAAGTCAGATAGCAATGTAGAAGCAGTTCAGAACTAGCATGTGAGAAAGAGATAAAGAGAGAGAGAGAGAGAGAGAGAGAGAGAGAGAGAGAGAGAGAGAGAGAGAGAGATTGTGCACTGATAGCTAAACTAAAAGGATTGTGACTTTCCCAGGCTCAGGGGTAGCCTTTCAGAATGACTCCGCATTTTTTTTTTTTTTAAACTGATGGACACATCCAGAGAAAATACTACTTATTTACAAATGAAGAAAATACCAAAGAAAACCTCCCCATGGAACTGAACCACTCACTGCACGTGAGGCAGAACAACAAGGCACGTTATTCAGACTGTGGATCTAGAGAAAGCACAGCAAGCCGCTTCTTACTCCTTTTTCATCTGGTAAGCAGTGTCCAGTGTTTTCAGATCATGTTGAAGATGACGGCTGAGAAACAATTCCTGGTAAAGTTAGTGTTGCTTCACACACTTAGAAATATGAGTCAAAGCACCGGGTACTCGGAAACACTTGGCCTTTTACTACTTACTTTTTCATCAGTTTTGCAATTCTTTGGCACTCTTCCTTATCATAAAACCAAATTCCATAAATGGACACTGGGGAAAAAACACATCAAACAAGTCATAAGCATCTTCAAAGTCACACAGTGAAAGAAATTCCCTTTTTGTCTGAGAGGAAAATATATAATAATTAATTATGAAAGGAATTCATTCAATTAATGATTAAATAAATGAACGCAGTCATTGGAGTTACATGTCAAAAAGAAAAGCATCTATGCCAGAAGTGTTGATGAGTCTGTGCACACTGCAGTCTGCTTCCTTGGGAAGTGCGGTCTCTAGCTCAACAGGCAGTTGGTAAATGCTTCTTACACAAGTGGCTACAGACTGAAAATGAGATCAGGATTTCTAAACTTCTTGGCTTTGCGATTTCATTGTTTCTATATGCCATTTGCACATTTCACAAACACATTTCATCTTTATTTTTAAATATTCAGAAACCTGATGCTCAATTTATGCCTAGAAACCTCCTTCCCTCTCCGTCTCCAAAGGATATGTTAACTGAAAAATTGGCAGTGAGTTATTAGGGTTGAGAACTAGAAAAAATATATTTTTAAAAATAAATTTCATCTAAAAATGTCCATACAGGAAGTTTACAAATGTTGGAAGGTTAGGCATGACTATTGTGTGACCATTTAGCAACGAACAGAAATGTACTATAGTTGTGATTGATTCATTTAATAATTTTTTAAGTAAGTTGTCTATTAAATTTAGCATATATCTAGCTCCATAACTTCTAAAGGCTAAAACAATCACAGGATACACTTGTAAATATCTAGTTGAGGTCCTGGTCTTATATGCAAATAGTCATATAAATAATACATGAACTAACTTCATTGACCAGCCTGGTCTACAAGAGCTAGTTCCAGGACAGCCTCCAAAGCCACAGAGAAACAAGTCTCGAAACACCACCCCCCAAAAAAACCAACCCTCCACAACTTCTGAAAACAGCAGTAATATTATGATAGAGCAATAAAAGTTAGCAAAAAGTATTTGAAAGGCAAACAAAAAATTTAAACTTTCAAAGTATTTAATTATTTTGTATGAAGATAATTATGGTAGTCTAAGAACACCCTTTTCTGCTCATTCATCTCACCAGTGCCCAGATGGGAACTTTCTGTGTCAGGACACCACTGATATAAATTTCCAAAGGCACAGGAAATGTCTTTTTTTTTTTTTTTAAAGATTTTATTTATTTATTATGCATACAACATTCTGCTTCCATGTATATCTGCACACCAGAAGAGGGCACCAGATCTCATAATGAATGGTTGTGTGGTTGCTGGGAATTGAACTCCAGGACCTCTGGAAGAACAGCCAGTGCTCTTAACCTCTGAGCCATCTCTCCAGCCCCAGGAAATGTCTTTTTAATGCTATTTTAAGCAGGTATCAATAAGAGGCTTTATGAATCCAGATCACCAACTTGCCAAAAGTCATCACTGAGACTTGAAACTTCATTTTCGTACTGATCAAGTATATGCAGAATATTAAAAAAAAGATTTATTGGTGTGTGTGTGTGTGTGTGTGTGTGTGTGTGTGTGTGTGTGTATGGGCCAGAAAGGGTGTCAGATTCGTTGGAACTGGAATTGCAGGTAGCTGAGTTTCCAGATGTGGGTAATGGGAACCACATCTGGTCCTCTGGAAAAACAGAAAATGCTCTTATCCTTGAGTCCTCTTTCCAGTCCATGTATGCAGAACCTTTACCTCAGACACCTACATATGGAAGGGGCAAAGGGAGATGAAGCCCCAGGTTTTTTCAACCATGTTACAATCTGAGATAGAAACACACACATATCCGTCTGCAGCGCTATGGCAACTCTAGGAAATATGAGAACACTGGTATCCTCCAGTCAGTGTGCTGTGATTACTTTCTCATCAAAATAAGACCTGTGCATCAAGATTAAATGTGTTTCCGGAAACTGGGATTTAAGGTTACTTCCCATCTACCAGAAGTCACTCCCCACTCAGAATCCCTAGACATCTGTCCTTTTATTTTTGTAAGGTCAGGCTGGATCACTAGCACTCAGCCCGTGAGGAATCTACACAGATCGCTAGCACTCAGTACCATGAGGAATCTACATGGATCGCTAGAATCTCCACGGATCACTAACACTCAGTACCATGAGGAATCTACACAGATCACTAGAATCTCCACGGCTCACTAGCACTCAGTCCATGAGGAATCTACTCAGATCACTAACACTCAGCTCCATGAGTCTGACTTCTTTGTCTCAGTTACAATAGGTGCTATGGACTGTTTGAACGGTTTGACTACAGTGAAATCTTTCCTTTTTTGGAGACTAAGTTTTCCAAAATGGTAAGTCAGGAACCCACAGGGCAACCAGAAACTAAAACCCAGTGGCAGAGAAGGTGGCAATGGTGTCTTACCAGTAGACCATACTAACAAGCACTCCAGGGGCCATCCCTCCTCCTGTGTGACATGTGACATACAGAACTACAGTTGGATAAGGGCAGGATGCCAAGGAAACTGTTGGCACGAACAAAGGCCTCTGACATCTTCATTACCACAAGATGCTGACACACAGGTTTTGGGCAGAAAAACAACAGAAAACCCTCCAATGTTAAAGCAGAATGAAGGAAATACTGGGTTTGTCATTATTTAGTACTTCATGGAGATTTATTTAGGAGGTAACATGGTTTTTTAACATTCAAATAGGATCATTTGAAATGACTCTCTTTACCCGGTTAGTATTTAGCTTGAACACAGGTTTAAATAGGCAAGGGGAAGGGAAGATAAAACACAAATTTCCCAGAATTCCTGACTACTAAAAGGAGCACCAAGATAGAGGACTGGCCCTATGCTTTCTTCTCCTTAAAATAGTTTTGTAGCTCAGCGGCATCGCATCGTGAATCCATGGAAGTGCACATTCCAGCTCAAGTTCTCCGTGTCGTGGGCCCAGGCCTCCACCCTCACCAGGCCTATCACCCTTCCACACAAGAGGCTGTGCCAGACAGCTCGTGGTGACATACAAAGACCAGGACTCATCAGGCCTTCAGGAGGTGATGAGCTGACAGGCTGACAGAAGCCATTTGCTTCACATTCCCATTCAAGGGCTCCACTGGGGAAGGGCTTGTCTCTGCACAGGTCTGAACGCAACAGCAAAGAGCCAAGAAAGGAGGTGTGCTTTCAGAATTCTAACCTGGAAGTAACAGCCTGAATTCACAGCAGAGCGTTAGGGTCGCATGAGCTTTTACAGCCCTCAAAGGTGGCCATAGAAATAGGTTCTGAGTTTTTAAAGAGTACAAGAGAAAATTACAAGTGGGATAATTGTTTAGTTGTGAAATTAGTTGTTAGCACCCAACTGGAAGTCACAATGATTCGAGCCTTCGTTCAGCCGTCCACCCCTCCATACCAGCCGCTTTCCAGTCACCTCTCTGAGGAATCAGAGGGGAAGTTCAAGGGCAAGGTGATACATGAAGCTCAACTCAACTGTTTCTACATCTCTCCTGGAGGTAAGAAAAGTTAAGTGTGTTGAGAGCTCCCCTAGAAGCAGGATTCTAGAAGGTTCCCCAGCATGTGCTCATGTATGTCTGCATAATCCCTTGTGTTTAACTGGGACTACTCACCACATTATGGTGAAGTTCTACTTGGCACTGCCCTTTCCCGGATGTCATGCTTGGTCAATTCCCCATAGAAAACAGCCTTTCAGTGGTAAGACACCTGCCTCCCATTGTCCTTTCAATCCCTTAAGAGAGACTGAGGAGTGCAAAATTTCCACATTATACTCCAGGTCTGAGTTTTGTGGGCATACAGACAAGGGTGAGCAAGCTGACTGTGCTTGATAATGGCATCAATTCTTTAGTTTCTTCAGTAGGAAACCTGAAAGCCAATCAAATTTCAATGGGCCAATTAAGTGGTCATTAGAGGCAGCATCGGATGTCACTTAAATGTGCTTTTTCACTTGCACACACTGACTGCCATTAGTATAGCACAGTAGTTCATTTTGGATGAATGATTTCAGGACCCGCCTCATCCTGTTTATGTTCCTAATAGATGCTTTTATTTAATATGACCTTTGGAGACATTGGCCATTTGTTCTCTATTCTATGCCAGGTACTTTTCAACTCAAAACCATTTCATAAGAATTAGGGCTAACATTTTCAAAACAAGCATATACCTATATAGTTAGTAAGTGGCATACACATATGTTAAGGGTGTACAGCAAACTTTAAATGGGAGTTGTGGTTTGATTATGCTTTCTCG